TGAATGCCTCTGATGCTGTTTCAGACATCACAGGAGGAAAATTGCAGAATCCCACAGGTAGGAAAGAACATCTGAAGGTCATCTTGTCCAACTCCCTCCTGAGTTCAGGGTCACCTGGAGCAGGTTTCTCTGGCACATGATCAGTCAGGGCTTGAATATCCCCAAGGACAGGGACCCCACAGCCTCTCTGTGCAGCCTGTGCTGATGTTTGATGACTCTCACGTTCTTTTGTTGAAGTGGAATTTCCTGTATTTCAATACCTCTTTCCTCTTGTCCTGTCACTGAACACCACAAGTAAGAGTCAGGCTCCATCATGTTTGCTTCTTTCCATCAGATATTGAGACACCTTAATACCACCACATCCTTCTCTTCTGCAGGGTGAAGGCCCCAGCTCCCTCAGCCTTTCCTCATCCCATCCTTTGACCATCTTTAGGGTCCCTCAGTGGATTCTTTCCCATATGTCTCTCCTCCTTTCCTACTTTTTTTCCAGTATTGTCTGGAAATAAATGTTCCAGCTCATGAAAAAAAAAAAAAAAAAAAAAAAAAACAAAAAAAAAACCCAAAAAACCCCACAAAATAAGCAAAAAAGCTATTCCAACCCCAAAACAAGCAGGTTTTTTTTTTCTTTTGTTGAAGTGGAATTTCCTGTATTTCAATACCTCTTTCCTCTTGTCCTGTCACTGAACACCACAAGTAAGAGTCAGGCTCCATCATGTTTGCTTCTTTCCATCAGATATTGAGACACCTTAATACCACCACATCCTTCTCTTCTGCAGGGTGAAGGCCCCAGCTCCCTCAGCCTTTCCTCATCCCATCCTTTGACTCTCTTTTGGGTCCCTCAGTGGATTCTCTCCAATATGTCCATGTCTCTCCTCCTTTCCTACTTTTTTCCAGTATTGTCTGGAAAGAAATGTTCCAGCTCATATCTTTCTCAGCCAATCTCAACTTTAAATACAAATAAATTGTCTAAAGTGCTGTTGTGGTTGAATTCCAGCTGGCAAATAAGTTCCACACAACCACTCCCTCACCGTCCCCAGCAGGCTGGTGGAAATGAAGTGGATGAGTAAAAGTGAGAAAGCTTGTAGGTTGAAATAAGAACAGTTTAATGACTGAGATGTAATAGTATAAGAATAAGAATAAGAATAAGAATAATAAAAGTTATTTCTTCCATGCAGAAATCTTACCTTTCATTCCCACCACTAATGCTGCCCACCCAAGTGTCTCTAAATGGAGACTGATGGGTGTAGAGCGCTTAAATTTAATTTTGCCTGTATGGTTTTACTTGCCAATATCTTTCCCAGTCCAAGGGATATGGACCAACTCTTTCCTTGAGATTCTACATCCTGCTATTCTAGTCATGGCATGTTTGGCTTGTACAGGGTATACAAAGCAAGAAGTATTTCATTTTATAAAATACAAATTCATGCCTCTTTTAGTCTGGCTTGGATGTGGTTATTCTTTTATTTGTATTTCAGGTGATGAGGATAAAGCTGTGATAAATATTTTTTTCTTATTATTCTTTCTTTTTTTTTCTTTTTTTTCTGTGTCTAGTACATTAGGAAATGCTTGTTCCAATTTGTACAAACTGCCTTCACAGTAAATTGGACAAGTTTCCCTGAGGAGCAGTAGACAAAAGACTTGGGAAGTGCCATGGGGATGGGGAGGGAAGTGCTTTTATTGCCAATCAAATTAAAGGCATTTAGATCTGCTCTTAAATTTTTCTGTAAATATATTACTGTGGGGTAAGAATTTGGCTCCAGAGCTGTATGAATAAGGGATATTTCAATGCCTTGGTAGGATGGGGTGGGAGGTGGCTGCTGCTAAAAAGGTTGGTTAAGCTACAACAAAATATTTCATTTTCAATTCTTTCTATTTTTCCTCCCTTACAAGGAGAAAAAGCTTTAAAATGGAAACACGTCCTGAAAATGATAAATCAACATTAAACACTTGGAGTGCTCCAAAAGTCCCCCTTCTCTCCCCGTTTCACACCACTCTGTTGGGGAAAAAATAGATGCATTCACTGTTTGCCAAAACAACACTTGCCCAGTTGTAATCAAGGCATTTTACAACAGGGTGTAGACTTTCACTCCATGTTTGTTGTCTGTGGCCTTGGGGAAGTCATGGCAAGAAATGTTTCCACTTGCTTATCTCTAAAGAGAGAGGGTGGGTGAGGAAAAATCTCTGTACAGAGGCTGTTTTCAAGCTGTTTGGTTGTCCCAAATCCCTGCAGTGGTCTTAAACTGTGGGAGATAAAGAAAATAATCCTTATCTCTGCACAAAGACTTTCCTGTAACTGTCTTCCATGTGCTCATATTTTCCCAGGTAAATTTTGGATCTTGGGTTGCATTTTGGGATGAAGGTTGTGCTGGTAGTTCTGAGCTCACCTGAGGCCTGGAAGAGCTGGGGTTTGTTCCCAAGTCCATCACAGACTTCCCAACTGACTCTTCAGCTGAATCTTGTAGGTTTTAATGGTTGTGATTAAGAATTTCCACCAAGGCACCACAGAATCATAGAATGGTTTGGGCAGGAAGGGACATTAAAGATCATCCAGTTCCAGCCCCCTGCCATGGGCAGGGACACCTTCCACTATCCCAGGGTGCTCCAAGCCCTGTCCAACCTTGCCTTGGACACTTCCAGGGATGGGAGAGCCACGACTTCTCTGGAAAACCTGTTACAGGGCCTCACCACCCTCTGAATGTAGAATTTCTTCCAAATATCCAATCTAAACCTACCCTCTTTCAGTTCAAAGCCATAACTCTTGGTCCTATCACTCCATGCCCTACAAAAAAATTCCCTCTCCACCTCTCTTGCAGACCATCCTGAGCTACTGGAAGTTTCTCTGAGATTTCCTGGGAGAAAGTACAATTGTAGGGTGTATTTCCATGGAGCTCGTGGTTTTGCAGCTTTGCACAGCTGACACGATGGATTGTTTTGCTGTTGAGTGTCTTGGTTTACAGGTTTGCTCCTTGCTTCCTCTTGTTTGCTCCATTTTCTGTCTCCTTGAAGCACACTCCAACCCTCACCCTCCCTCTGGCTGCTCAGGCTCTCACAGCTCAGCTTCCATAAGTTTGGGCTGAAGGCTGTTTCCCTAAAATGAAGATTTTCTGCCCTGGGGGCAGCGGCAGCCTCGGATGCCAATTATGTGTGGACGTGGTACACTGAGGCTGGCAGGGGAAGCTGCACTCTGGATTTTCTCCACTTTTAATGGATTTAGCTCCCAACCATTGCTCTGTCAAGGCAGTTGCACTTTCATCCTCTTTCATGTGTCTGGCCCAATTAAGGGAGGATGGTGAGTGATTTCTTTTGGTCCTGGAGTTCCACTGTCTGCTGAATCTCAGTGCTGATTTTTTTTTTTTTCATGGTTTTGAAACTCAAAGAAATAAAGGAGAATGAAGTACAACAGGTGCCTGAGGCCATCAGGCTGTTCCCAGTACAGTGCAGGATTGGGATTTTCTGGTGCTTTGCTTTGCATGGAGGACAAACCAAAGGAATAGCTGCAAGTGTCAGTATCACTGCACCCCAAAAGAGACTTTTCCTGAGATATCTTTGAATTGGGACATCATCTGACACCTGGTCATGTGTCACAGAAAGTGGAGGCCATTGCCAGCCCTCTGTCAGAGGGAAAATGGCTGGTCCAGAACATGAGAAATTTGAATATCCAAGCCCAGAATGAAGCAACACAGCTCATGTCATCCAGCCTAACACCCCAACATCTTTCTCAGTACAAGAAAGACATGGAACAGTTGGAGCAGGACCAGAGGAGGCCACAAAATTATCAGAGAGATGAAGCAGCTTTGCTGTGAAGAAAGGCTGGACAGCTGGGGTTGTTCAGCCTGGAGAGGAGAAGGCTCTGGGGATTCCTTAATGTGGAAAAATTAAAATTAAAATTCCTTTCAATACTTAGTATAAGAAAGATAAGGACAGACTTTATAGCAACACCTGTAGTGATGGGACAATGGTTTTAAACTAAAAAAAGAGTAGATACAGAGTAGTTATAATGAAGAATTTTAGTTTATGGTAAGGTGAGTAAAGCACTGGACCAGGATGCCCCAACACTAGCAACATTTCAGGCCAAGGAGGTTGGACTGGATGACCTTTAAGGGTCCCTGCCAACCAAAACCATTCTGATGTTGCCATCACACCAAAAGTGTTGCTATCCTTGCAGGATTGTAACTTTTTTTTGTGGTAGAAACACCAGTCTGGGGTGATTTTTTCATAGCCTTGGTGTAAGAAAGCAGCAGCTGGGTTTGGTGCTGTATAATCTCCCAGCTCATGCAGCACCTTTAGCTCTTCTCTTCCTTTGCTGCCATCATCTCCATGCCTTGGAACGGAGCTATTTTGGTACCAAAGCCCTGGACACTGTTGAAATGCTGGAGGATGTCTGGGTGAGGCATTTCTGTGGATAAGGAGGAATAAGCTGTCTTCCTCTGACTGCTGCATTTATTTCATTCTGCTGCTGCTACCTCAGGCCTTGCAGATTTTTAATTTTTATTTATTTATTTATTTTATTTTTTTTTTAAGCCAGCAAGGCAAAATAAATCTGGCTCCAGTATTTCTGCTGGAGGCCCAGGAGCTTGTAACAGCAAACTGTCTCTTTTGAGAGCTCATCAGGGCTGCAGTGTGATGGATAAACTCCAGCCAGCTGTGTACTGGTAATGTTCCAGAAGACAGCATCACCTTTTTTTTTATTGAGTGCTTAAGTCTTTACCTTCCAGCTCAGGATCTCAAAGCACTCTGTGAACAGTGAGGAATTAAAAGTTGCCCTTTATCAGTGGAGAAAATGAGACACAGGGAGGTCAAATGACTTGCTTGCCCTCAAAATCATTTGTAGTCCAGAACACCTGGATTTTAGTGCTTTTAATTTTTTTGCAGGTGGGCATCCTGAAGTTTGGAGATTGCCCTGTATATTTTATTTGCCTTCTCAGTCCTCTTTTTTTCTCAGGCTATTGGGGTTTAACTGGCTTTTAACAGGGCTGTGCCTGTCTTTTCTTGTTTTTTAGGTTTGAAGTGTAATCCAGCATCCATCACTATCCAGAAAATGTCTTATGGATCCATTGATGGGAGTGGATTTGGGAGCAGGAACCCATTTGGAGGCCCTTCCAGACAAGGCTATCAACCTCTCGGTGAAGTATTGATCCCTTGCTGTAATTTATTCCACCTGGTTCCCTGAGGGCTGAAGTTTGGCTTGCTCAGGTTCACTGTGGCTGCTGTGTAAATATCACACCCTCACCAGGGGTCATTCCTGACACTGATTCTCAAAGGTGAAACCCAAACTTTTGCAGTTTGATCTGTGTGATTGAGGCCTGACCTCTCACCATGCTCAGAATTTGAGGCTGTGGCATGGGAGAGCAGCACTAATGAGGGTTTCGGGGGAATTTTGGGGAACCAGAAGGAGAAATGCAGAATATTCTCTAGAGTGGCTTGTGTCTTTTCTCATCTCCCCATCACTTTTACAAGAAGTTTGTCTCAGTGGTTGTTCTGAGGCTGGCAGATGGAGGGAGTAGATGAAGGATGTACAAATGCAATGGGCTGTGCTTTCCCAGAGGATAACTTTGCTGTGGAAGCTGCCTGAATCTGGGAAACATGCTTGGACGTGGCAAACAGGATCAAAAACTAACTCAGGAAATGCTGAAACTTTGAACAGTGGCTTGCAAATAGCTGTGGATTCTCTCTTTGTGTCACTTTTTTAAGCAGAGGCCAGACCAGCTCTAGGGCTGATCTGAGCTTATCTAGTCTGGCTTTGAGCAAGTCTTTTCATCTGGAACACATGCTTTATTTTGTTCCTGGATCTGGCTTGCTTTGTAACATGGCAAAGGGCTCTGTTTTCCTTTTTTCACCAGGGAAGAATGTCACCATTCTCTCCACTTGCCTTTGATTTCAATATTCACTAACACAGCCTGATTTGGTGTTCATGTTTTGAGGGTTGCAAATGTTCTTTGGGAAACATTTTTTTGTTTCACAAATAATGGTTCTCCCTGAATGGAAAAATATATATACACGTATTTTTTAAAAATAGAGGTTTCTCTTGGGTTTCTCTCTTCTTACAAATTTGGGTTTAATTTTGATTTTTTTTTTTCTTTGAACAGGAAGAAGGTATTGAAGTAAGTACAAGTTGTCTGTTCAGTTGTAAATAGTGATTTTTAGGCTATTCTGCAAGGCAAAATTAAAGGCATAAAAGAAAGAAAGAATGGGAGAATGAGATACTTGGGCACAATCAAAGAAATGTAAGAAAAGAGAATTGAAATGTGGATTAGACAAACAATGAACCTCAATGCATTGTAGCTTAGATTTTAAAAAAGGGAATATTTATTGTGCTGAATGAAAGAACTTCTGTTTTTAATGCAAATTCACAGAATAGCTCAAGACACTTGAAATCTCTAAATGTTTGAAGAGATCCCTTATTGTTCCCAGCTTGTCCACAACTTGGCAGTTGGAGCTGTGATGCTGAAGCCACCCTTAGTGGATGGCAAAGAGGAGCTGGTGTGGAAAATTCAGTTATTTTGAAACTGCCACGGTGTGTTGGCTGCCCAGCAGAGCCCGTTGATGCTCTGGGTTATGGCTTAGACTTGAGTGCTGGTTTCCCCTCCAGGCTTGCACACATCCTGTCTGGTGGCATTGCCATGGATACATCTCCTCCAGAGTCCTCCAGCGTGGATTTTCCCAGCCAGCCAAAATTGGTTGGTCCCTTAGCTGAGCATCCCTGTGGAAAAGATTGCAAGGGGAGGGACCTGTTTGCATTGGCCAAGGCACCTTGGAGAAGTTTCCTTTCTGTGTGTCTCAGTCAGAGGTGGGTTCATTCAGCCTTGGGAAAAGATTTAGGGGAGACCTTTTCATTGTGTTCCAGCATTTGAAGGATGGCCACAAATGACATGAAGAGTCTCTTTTCACATGGCAAAGATGTGGGGTATTGGGTGCAAGTTACTCCTGGGGAGATTATCAGAGACTCGGACAAGAGGAAAATGTTGTGCAATGAGAACAATCAGCCTTTAGAATAATCTCCCCAGAGAAGTGGTGGATTCCAGAATGCTGGACAATTTTAAAGTTCATCTGGATGGAGTGCTGGGCCATCCTGTCCAGGCTCTGCTTTTGCCAAGAGAGGTTGGATCAGATGATCCTTGAGGTTCCTTTCCAACTTGGCATTCCGTGATTCTGTTCTCTGCTCATCATGAGCCTGTGTCCCTTTGCAACGGAAGATGGACACACTTGGATCAGATGATCCTTGAGGTTCCTTTCCAACTTGGCATTCTGTTCTCTGCTCATCTGAGCCTGTGTCCCTTTGCCACGGAAGATGGACACATTGGATGCCTTTTGTCACAGCATCCCCAGTTAATTAAGTGCCAGGAGAGGGTAATGCAACACTAATTATCTGCCTCCTGCTTTTGGACAATGGATGACTGGTTTGCTAAGAAAAATTGCCTTTTGTATTAGATCATGGTGTGGCTGGAACAAAGGAGCATGGCCTTCCCACCAGCATCTGTGTCTCTGCTCTCAGCAGGGACAGACCTTAATGGGAATGTTCTGTGTGTGCTTTAAACCTCTCCCTTTCTTTGTAGATAAAAAATAAATAAAACCAGGTATCCCTGCAGGTAAATATCCAACAGCGATCCAGTGGTAATATTCAATATCCAACAGAAAACCCTGAGATGCAGCAGCAATAAAGGTGTTGGGGGTAGAACTGCTTCATCTGTAACACAAATGAGAGCAAAGAAAAGAGGGCTCAGGTTTAGTTTGGTTTTGTTTAATGAAGGGTGATACTGCCACGGGGGTTTCCTCTGTGCTTGTGCATCTGTTTGCCTTGGCTCTGTTTCTTCCATGCTCGATCCAAATGTGCAGGATGTGGATGTGGAAGGATGCGATCCTGTGCCAGGATGGGAAAGTTTAATTACTTGAAGGTGATCCCCTTGGCTCTGGGCTGATGGGATGATGGATGGACTCAGAGCCTGTCCTCAGGCCATGTGCAGGTTAATGTAGCTGACCAGCCTAATTAGAGAGATCCACAGACTCCATCTGCAGAGTTTGGGGAGGATCCTGAGGCAGTGTTTTTGGCAATTTGGTTTGCCCTGGACACCTTGGTGTTGGGGCAAACTCTAGTTCAGAGTCCTGGATGGTGGGTATCCAGGATTTCTTGGGAGGGGGAAAAAAACCCCCACAAGTATTTTTTTTCATTACTATTATTATTTTTTTTAATATTGGCAAGTTTTAGGAGGAGGGCAAGGGAGGCTCAGCAGAACTCAGATGTTCTATGTCCTTCACCAAGGAGCACCCTGAGGTATGTCACACTCAGGATCACCAGGATTACCTGGAGTAGAGCACTTTGTGGGTTTGGTTGTCCCACAGCCACTGAGGGACAGCCAGGAGTGGCAGGTGGAGGCATAAGCCATGTCCCTGCTTTGCAGCTGGGAGTTACAACCTCCTCCAGCAAGATCTGCTTCTCATCTTCTCATTCTGATCCCAAAATCATTGTAAAGTCCAAAGTTATTGGTTTTTTTTTTTTTTTTTTTTTTTTTGTTTGTTTACGTTTTTTTGTTTTTTGTTTTTGTTTAAATGAGAAATGGAAAATATTTACTTCAAAAATATTATTTTTTAAGTAATGTGACATGTCTAAGATAAACAGAGAGCAAACAGTGTACAGCAGTCAGGATTACACTCTGGGTTCCTACTATGTGTAACCTGCACTCTCTCCCATGCTCAACCTACCTTCCCAAAACCTTCTTTTTGTGGGGAAAATGAACAAAACCTGCTTTACACAGGGAGGCATATAGGTCAGGGAATTTAAATAGCTTGGATTAAAATGCCACAATACAGGAAATTTTTAACACTGCTTTTATTAACCTTACTGTAACCTGGACGTTAAATGCCAGCTCTGAAAAGGTAAGGTTAATTTCATATTCCAGCAGTGCATTGCTTCCAGGTGAGCTCAAGGGACTGCTGGGTCAGTGCTTAATTTGTCTGTGACTTCATTTAGACCATTTTCCCCTCAGTTTCTCCTGAAGATTTTGTGTGGGACTCTGGCCAGGGTTGTACTCAAGATATATCACATGTGAGTCTTTCTCCTGGTTTGGATAAGGTTGTCACTGAACAGAATGAGATTGGTCTCTGCAAGTTGTCCTTGGCAGTGTTCTCTGGGTATAAATAACCTAATTATCATTTCAATACTTAGCAATTGTTAAATGATTTTTTTCTAACATTTTTTTTTCCTGGAATCAAGTCTATAATTTTCTTTGCCCTCCCCTCTCTACTACTCATCTGCCTCTGTGTTGCACCAACCAGCCCTTGGGTGGAAAGTCATGTGCCAGTGCTGGCAGTGCTGGCAGTGACCTGCCATGGAATTGTTTAGGTGGGAGAAGCCCTCTGAGATCCTCAAGTCCAGCCATTAACCCAGCACTGCCAGGTCTACCACTAAACCAAGTCCTCAAAATCTACACATCTTGTAACTCCCTGCAGGGATGGTGACTCAGCCACTTCCCTGGGCAGACTGTTCCAGGGCTTGACAACCCTTCCCGTGAAGAGTTTTTCCCAAACATCTGATATTCCTTACAGATGAACCACTCTTCTGTCCTCTCCAATCCTATTTTCCTCTTTTTCAAGCAAATCAGAAAAGTGATTTGTCTTTAAAAACACACCATGGAGTTCATGGTTGTCTCCAAGTTTGGCAGAGTCACAGAGCTCCTGTGCTCCATGGGAGGGGGATGTTCAGATGATTGTGACCCCTTTGGTAGGATGGGGCTGGCAAAAGCTCTGTTTTCTGGGCAAAACTCACTCAAAAATCTCAGGTACAAACCAGCACCATGGCCTGACTGTGGGAAATAGTAAAGGTAAGAAGATTTCTAGAAAGGTAGTCAATAAGCAACAAAGTTAAGAGAGTTTCTCTGTGGTTGTACTGAGAGAAGGAAATGTGGGAAATAGTAAAGGTAAGAAGATTTCCAGAAAGCTGTAAAAGCAGGCCTTAGAAACAGAAAGAACAGAAAACTTAGAGCTAGCTGCAGCTGCAAAGTCTGAAAGTAGAAAAAGTTACAGTAGTACGGCAAGGACATGAAACAATAGCTTGAGTTTTAGGCTTAACTAAGATAGACCTGAAGACTAAAGAAAAATATATTTAGCAAGCTACTAGAAGATTTTAATT